AGGAGGGTTGGTAGAGCACTAGAGTTGCTATAGAGTTGAGAGAGCAAGTAGGCCCCATTTTATTTTTAGAGTCAATAGAAATCTCCCCTATTGCTGCACGGAATAGGAGAGCCTATAATGGGCCAGGCAGCCTGGCCATAAAAAATCTTTTTTTGTTTTCGACTTTTTATTCAGTTTTATTTGGCCCGTTCGTCCATTTTTACACTATTTTTTTTTTACTTTTTAATCATTTTTATTTGGTTGTGTATGTTTGTTGTCACCTTTATGCATGGGCACCACACAAGCACCACTCTCTCTCATTTGTTCCATGAACATAGGACTTGCGAATGTTTTGATATAAATACCACTTTTTTGTACTCTATTATTCAATGTGGGACTAAAAGTCATCACTTACTCTTACTCTCTCTCTCTCTCTCTCTCTCTCTCTCTCTTTCTTTATTTATTTAAAACTTATGAAAACAACATTTATCTCGTACTATTTTAAAATATTAGAAATGTAAGTTTAGTAATAATAGGAGTAGAGACGAGGAAGTGGTTAACCTTGATAGCCAAGAAAAACAAAAAAGAGTCCATTTTTGGTATCTTGAGTCGATAATCTAGAAAAATAAAGAATTTGAGGAAGATGTCGCTCGTAGAATTAAAATTTGGTGGGTAAAGTGGAGATGTGCAACGAGTTTTATGTGATCGCCGCATACCAATGTAGCTGAAGGAGAAGTTCTATATGATAGTTGCAATACCAGCTTGGCTTTATAGAGGGAATGTTAGATGGTCAAGAAACAACATACTCATAGGATGAGTGTAGCTGGGATGATGAGTGGCAAGACAAAAAGTGATAGAATTCATAATGAATATATTCATGAGAACTTAAGTGTGGCTTCAATAGACGATAAGTTGAGAGAAAGTAGACTCAGGTAGGTTGGCCATCTGTAGCCTATAACCAATACGGTATTAGGAGGTACGAGTTGGTTCAAGTAGAAGGCTCAAAAGAGTAAGGGGAGGCCTAAAAAAACAAGTTGAAAGTAGTAAGAAAAGATATAGCGACTTATAGCCTCACTAAAAGTATGATCCTGGATATAGCAGAATGATGGACCATAATTCGTATAGCCGAGCTGATAACCATGACTATTTTGAAATACTAAATAGTAATTTTCAAAATTAAAAATACCTACAACATCAAACCCCATACATGTCAAGTACATGTCGCCCCATGCCCATTCTCGACCAAAGTATCAAGCCCTGAACATGAAGATCTCTATTGCCTCAGACATTGTGCAAAACGTTGAGGGGTATTATTATCTATCCTTGACCCTGGCAAGAGAACAAAGGAACTTTGACATCTTCTATGAAGAAAAGCCAAAGTTCTGATTAAATGGGGGACACATATAACATGTGATGGGTCTCAAGATCTTAGAAGGCAGTCTTTCAAAGGCAATAAAATTTGGTGGAAGTTTAATATAAGATTCTTTTTCAAGCCTATTCTCCAAATTTCAGTCATTTTGCATATGGGGCCACTTTGACCTAGAGAAAACCCTGGTCAGTGATCCATTGACAGCCCCCGGAATCAATTTTTTATCCTAATGAAAAGTTGTGGGTTTTTAATTTAGGGCATTACATAGGGTTCACAATAGACCCAGACCTCACCTAGGACCTGAGGGGTAGACCCGATCCGAGGTCTAGGTATGAGTTCAAAAATTGGACCCGGCTGGTCAGGAGGTTTGGATCTGGTAATATTTTCTAAGTCCCAATGTATTTTGGGTCAAGGTCTGGCTCTGATAATATTTTTCGGGTCCCAATATATAAAATATATTTAAATATAATTAAAGACATATATATTTTTTAATTGTTGGGTCTGGTCTCATCAGTCTGGGTCTAGATCCAACCAGACCTAGACCCAACCCGACCCGTTGTCACCCCTAGCATTACGAGCTTTCTTTCAAAATTTCAGGTCACCTAATTTTGGAATGCCAAAGTTGAAGGACCAAGATATCATTTTGGTCCGACCAACTGTTGAAATGAAAAAGTTGATTTCACCTGAGAGTGAATAAGTTAGGCATGATGCCTGTATCATACTGGACATCTTGATGCTGCAATTGCAGTCACAGGTGTTATTACTGAATAATTGACATTGCAAATTGTTTGATTTGTTTCTCCTTGAATATGATGTGCATTTATACTAGGTTTGAGCCAAATTGAGGCTAACTAAATTCCCCACAATATGATTGGGCAGCTAAGGATGCATTATATATTGAATAAAATTTGAAAAAACAATTCTTAGAATTAATGTAGTTTGTAGCATACCCACAACAGCCTCATTTTATATTGGATGGCTAGGAATGATTGTGACTTTTTCTATAAAAAATAAATATCTTATCGTATATTTTCCTACTTCTAGTTTTACCTTTTTATTGAAACTAAACTGAGTTTTTAAAAAACCCGAACATGTGAGATAATGCAATTTTCAAATATTTGGTATCTTTCAATGCAAATATAGTGTAGTAATATGGTATTTTGCATTGAAGAAAACCAATATTGTACACTAGAACATGTCTCACAAGGTGACTTTGGTGTTAAAATATTGATGTTTGAAAATTCTAATATTTTGTAAAAGTTTAACATTAGAATTAAATTTTTTCGATCTCATAAGATGACTGTGTCAAAATTATTGGTGATCAAAATACCCATTTCACATGATAATTTAAGTATCTGTTAGTACTCTAAAATACCAATATCCCATGGAATGTTTAAGTGAGATATTGGTATTTGAAAAAAAAAGTAAATTAAATACCAATATCCCGACCTAAAGATTTCCTATGAATTACTTTCCTTTTGATAGGAGGGTAAAATTGAAAATTGCCTCTCGTGAGGGCTTTTAAAAATTAGAACAAATAAATATATGAAAATGCTGAACAGGGCACCTTTATGATTGATCGATTCTTGTTTGGGTAGTCTAATAGGAAAGGGTTGGGCCCATTCCTATTCTTGATAAATTGCATTTACTAAATTGACAATGTGTTCTGCATGCTCTTAGGGAGAGGACGCACAATTCACTTACAAAAAAAAATCTATTTAAAAGTATTTTTTTAATCTAAAATTTCCGCTTCAAAATTACCAAAATAAATGTCTTCAAAAAGTAGAAAATTGAAAAAATTAATTTGCGTTTCTAACTCTTGTGCTGACTACCCAAAATTTTGATTTCCATTTTTTTTTCCCTAATTGGTTTGATCCCTTTACATCCTAGGTCCCCCAACCCTACTTTCTAGGTATGCCACGTTCTCGACCGTCGCTCCTTCTCCCCCCAAAATCACTGTTTACTCTATCACTCACCATTAAGTAAAAAGTTGATTATTTTTAACCAAAATACATTTTGGTTTTAACCCATATTTTTCTCTCAAATGTGTCTCTCCAACACAATAATGGCACAATAATGCATCATTCCGGTTTTTGATCTTTAAAATATGCCGATCCAACATAAAATGTGTTGGACCGGCTTTGATAGAATGCACCGATCCAACATAAAATGTGTTGTACTGACTTTTGATATTGAAATTATATCAGCCTGATATAAAATGTACTGTTGGAAATATATCTTTAAAAAGGGTACAGTTGGCAAATACGTGCATCTGTAGCTGTAGAGGTAAACCTTCAAATTTTATCATGGTATATAATTTCGATGTAAAATGTTCTTAGGATTATCTCAAAATCTATTTTTATATCTAATTATAAAATTTTAAATTTCAAAAATGGTGAAAATCAAGTAGATCTATAAACATATGAAAATCTTGAAAATGGACGGTGTATATAATATGTTATAAAATGCACGGTGTAGATAATATGTTATAAAATGCACTATTTCTAAGGCTTAAAATCTTTTTATTTTTCATACTCATACATCTCGATGTCGAGATGATCAATCAAAGGGTTTTTCAACATTAAAACTACTTTTTCTGATGGATTTTTGAGATGCATTCGTAGTTCTACATTATAAGGTTGCATCTTTATATAAACTTTTTCATTAAAAAAGTTCACTTTTGTATTTAAAAAAAATATATAAATTCTCAAAAATAAAGAATTTAGTTTGTAATGTATTTTTTAATGTTCTTTACATTATGATAAATATTAAAAATTGTTTTGGTCATTAATACTCGTTTTTATCTTTTTCCATCTTTTTTAGAAAATTTTAAGAATACCCTTAGGCACAATTTGATTCGTTAAAAATCCATTTTTCATTAATTTTCAACTTCATTGGAATGTGTTTTGTTTTAATAATTCTTTAAATACTTTTCATATTTTAGTAGATGTTTTTTGTATTTCTGTTAGTTTTTTCAACATTTTTTTGACCGTCCGGGACTTTCCGGGTTAAAACGATTGAATCGGCCAGTTTACCGGTTAGGCCGATTAAACCGCTTTCAGGCCCATGACCGGTTAACCGTTCTGATTCGATTTTGCGAACACTGAAACTAAGCATGATTATATTGAAATTTTCTGCCGGTTTGGGAGTAACAATTGTGTTGGAAAGACTTTTGATGCTCAGTCTAGCTTACCGAGAGAAAATAGGAGCATAGTAAGAAAAAGAGAAATGCAAATTGAAATGGGGAGCATTTTTTTCCAAAAAAATCCTTTTGGTAGTTTCATGAGGCTGAAAGCTGTTCTTTCGTATTACCTGTCTCATTAAAAAATAAACATTATTTTGAAACTTTACGACCTTGAAAATTATGGGCTTTCATTAATCGAAACTTCACGACCTTGAAAATTAATGGGCCTTCATTAATCGAAACTTCACGACCTTGAAAATTATAGGCCTTCATTAATCGTTGGGGAGAAACTTATTTTACATTAAGTTTTGGGGAAAGTTAGTTAAGGTGCAAGTAGAGCAAGGCAATGCATTGTTCCAAGTAAAAGCTTTTCTAAGAGTGCATGTCCACCATTGCTGCCATATGAGAGAGAGAGACAGAGACAGAGACAGAGACAGATTTTCAAACATAACATTCACTACTTACTAGTGGCTTAATAGTCAGTACAAGTTTCAGTAAATATAAGCACTGTCAAATAACAGTTAGCTTAGAGAAAACACAGAGAACAGGAAATTCACATATGACCCTTCCAAACTGAGCACTAAGTCATGGAAGTTATTAACTAACCCAACCCTTATACATAACGAAAGCAAAGAGATGAAAAGAGTGGCTCTAAGGAGGAGATCCAGCATGCTTTGGATGGCCTGGTGGGGTTGGTTTGGGAATATAAGGAATCAGAGGGGTACCATGTTCGATTGGTCCTGTTTTGATGGCAGCCTTTGAGCTTGGTGCTGGATCGAAGCGATGGTAATCCTCCAAATACACATCACCCAGTCTTCTGTTCCACTTTGGTTCATTCTCCTGAAATGGTTCTTGTAAATGTTCCCTAGTTAGCATGAGGAAACGTATGCAATACGACCATTTATTTCTATACAAGGTCACAATCACCATTTGCCATTCGATGTGAAATCAGAGGTTTTGGTCATGTATTATAAACCACACTCAAAGCACAAAAGTATAAGAAATTTTGAACTCTGTGACACCTCCTAGCTCCCTGATTTCACATATAATAGATAGGAGTAACTGTGAGCTTGTACCAAAGATAAACAGTCTTAATAGTATGGTATCCTTAGTCTAAACCGGTTTAATTTTCAATTTAAAAGAATGGTGAAGCTTATGCAATATACCTTTGTTTTCATGGTCACAGGCACTGGTATGCTTACTTGAAGGCCTGGAGGCACCACATCTGTATTCAAAATTTATCAAGAAATTGTCAACTGGTTCGACAAACATTTTTTTATATTTTGTTTCTATAAACTGGGTCTGCGCTGCACATGGCTAAGCCACCCAATCTAATAAAATTATTTAGTGATTGCAAAAATTTGAAATGTATGTTATTGATCTTATTGAATTGTTAACAAGTCAAAGCATATTCAAAGTCCATTTGCTAATGGATGCTCAAAGGGACTTTGGGCAGACCGATCTGTATAAACTCATTCACAGAGCAACTTATCCAAGTTGATTACCTATTTTATTTTATATGTCAATATATTTCGTAATAATCAACATATTTTTATTTTCTAAGAAGCTATATGTCAATATATTTCATAATAATCAACATATTAATAAATATTATAAGTACCAAACATGCTTGGATTATGTCTTTCTTGAAGAACCACACAGAAACTGATTTGTAAAGAGACAGGCATTCATTAAACTTAATCAATAATAGATGAACTCTTTGCACTTCCTGTTGGACGGCTTGTTGGATTTCCCTCTCTACGATAATGTCTATGCAATCGAAGGGGACCAGGTGGTTATAAAAGTAACTTTGAAAGGATCCCTGTTAGAGAACTACAAAAGGGAAGCATTGAAGCCTAAGATTTTCCCTGCAACCAATGTGTGATGATTTCTGGACTCTCACGATCTAAGGTGTAGCTCTCAACCTCTTCGTCTCGTAGCATGACACATGTACTGCCCTCCCACGACCCCCTTTTTACGGTTTAGGCTGCATTGATATAGCTCGCCGCTTCTACCGGAATAACCTTGTCTTCTACTTCTCTGGCTATTAAGATGTTCAGTTTGCCAACCATGGACTCAGTAGTACTTCAAAAGGTTGACCCATTGGGGAATTTCTGGATCTATGCTTATTTTCAATTCCTTGAAGAATGCCATTAGCTCAAGACATAGATGCTCTAACCATGTTTTGATTAGTGATTAATCCTCAGATAGACACTAAAGATAAATAACTACAGAGGACAAGTGCCTACTTGACATCACTAACCAAAAGTCCTCATCAATCTCGATTCATTTCAATATAAACAACAAATCATCTAATTTGATTAAAAATATAGATAACAGATTTAGAATATAACTACTATAACATGACCAAGGAAGGTAATGGCAATGAAATGGTCAAAATGAAGCTATAGTTTTTCTCTGTGATATCTCTGTAAGTGACATGGAGCAATATTTAAATGGGATTGAGGCTGGATTGATGTGATAACAGCTTTCATTTAATTTAGTTTAATATTTATATTTTATTTGATATTTGATATTTGATATTTGATTGAATTAGCACACTTCCAATTCAAATCATATCTTTTTCGTTTATTCAGCATTAGCCATGGCCATTGCTCCTACCATGGCCAACTAAAAATGTTACAGAAATGAGTTCAATCCAGAAATTCGAGTGGTTAAAATTGAATCAGCTGCTTTCAAAGTAACGGAAAGAAAAGCAACAATTAGAATTTGTTACTTTCTTTCTCTCGTTCAAAACTGTGCATGAGACTTTCATCACTCATAGCTCCTCGTTGATAAAAAGAAAGAAGAGTTATTTTTTAACTACCTTCCTCGCATATGTACAAGACCAATTCCATTTGATTTGCATTATGGGTGGGAAATACTCTAGTCAATAGATGATATAACAGGACCTGTGAAATTATGGGATTTTGATCAAATGATTTGAGCCTTTTGCATTGAAACCCCACCAAGAAGCAAGAGGTTTATCTTCCAAATTACCTCTAGTGAATTGGGATCGTTTCCATCCTATTTATTACTCCATCCGCAGGCTATCTTTTATCCATGTAGTGCCAGACACCCCAGCAAAAAAGAAGAGCAGCAACAAGAAGAAGAGGATGATGATGACTGATAATTGTGATGATGATAATGTTATAACTAAGATTTTGGGAGGGTTTCAAATTTTTACCATGAGGCTGAAGTTCTCAACATGATACTCTAGAGAAAAATATCTCCATGTTTTCATTGATTTGACGTGATCTTTAGCACACAATTCTGAGAAAACTATGAGATACATAGACTAAACCCGAGGCAACCTTTTCACTTTTGGCCAATCATCAAAAAATGGGGAACATTAAGGTATGATTTTGGGAAGGCCACTAATATGGCCATCAAGAAACATGTGCATGCAATGTATGTGCAGACTACACACACTCGTCTTATTTCAGTAGTTGCACAAATGTTTCATTGGTTATGGATAATGATAGTGCAACTTCTTCTATTATAGTGTAGGCATAACAATCTCGACTTTATTGTTGCTGGAAAGCAACATAATAACATCACTATGAGCAGAAAAGAAATTTAATTCAACTGCCTTCTATTTAAAGTTGAAAGGTGAAAATCGATACTTGGTCAGTGTTCAAAATTATTTGAGAATTGAGAAGAATGAGGACGAGAAGTTAATCAAAACTCGTGGGGTTTGGTTCAATTCCTAAAGCCCAACAAAAGGGTACTGTTATACGAGAATAAAGATACCAGTGATGCTCATAGGATCCTACAGTGTCACAGGGGTTATATACATTTTAGAGGACTAGAAGTATAACATCTGAATAACCGATACAAACAAACAAATAGTCATGCCATCATTCTCTATCTTTTACCTTCCCAACATAATTTTTGATAATCTCACCTGATTAAGAAAGTAGAGGAAGTTTTTTCAACAAAACATGCAATTTCACTAATCATAGAACTACAATGCATGAAACACGAGTGACACATTTTTCAATGCCAGAAACAGATGCTGCGGGAGCATCTCAATAAATCCTATGTAGAAATGTTAAGAATTCACCCCACTTTTGGCTAACAAGCCAGCTTTAAAGTTAGCCTTACATAGGGTATGGGGATGCATCAATGAGGGCCTAGCACAAAGATTATGCACCTCTAGGATAATGGGCATATGTCAAGGAACTAATGATTCTCTATGTGCCACACTTGATAATTTTTCAAGGGGTTCCACCAAAATAGGAGTGGCAAGATGAAGGGGGAAAATATGAAAGTCTGAATAATAGGGTTTTGGTCTCTGCCTGTATGCATTGCACATTCTTGACACTCCCCAACTTGTCATGATCACCTTACCAATACAGTCACTAATCAATCCATCAGAACTGGCTGGACCCAGGTTTGACATGGAGCAGCACTCAGATATGAGCTTAAGGGAACCTGTAGGGGTAGATACCACCTTGACCTCTGTTTCTTGCATTGCCAAACATAAAGAGAGGTTTAGGGTCCTCTGCTTCAAGCCATCAGATTGCAGTCCATAGTAGAATGTTAAAATTTAAAAGAAAATCCTTAAGAAATTGCTAGGTTGTTCAAGGTGGGTTCATATGTAAGAAGTGGTAGCCTTGGCAGAATGCTCAGAGCCTTTGCAGGGATTGTGGGAATTTGTGATGCCAAGAAGCAGGGCAATGGCGCTCCTAATATGCCTTGGAATTTTCCACTATTTCTTCTTAAATCCATTAGTTATGGAAAGTTCATCCATTTCTAATGCATTAGGTGGTCTGTATAGAAACAAAATACCCTTGGAGCATAGTTGATATCATGGAGAAGATGCTTAAGAGGGGTGAAAATCTCTCTCTCTCTCTCTCTCCCCAGTGGACCTATAAAAGCATACGGACACGTAGTCTTCCTTACTGTGTGGGAGGTAAGGTGTTCAGTTATTCCATGAGTTTTTTGGTAACCCTATGATTTTCTATAGCTTTCTATTTCTCTTGTTTCTTCCTTTTTTCCCCACAGTCTTCCTTGTTTCTTCTTCTCCTGAAGTTTCCTTCTTTGCTTTGTTTTTATTGGAATTGTGTCCCTCTGGTTGCCACAAGTACAAGCAATTTGATGTGCCGCAGTCATGGAAATTATCTTTACACAACCAAAAAAGGAAAAGAAAAAAAAGAAATTCCCTTTTACATATTGAACTGTCATATGTATCCGCATGGAAAACCAACAGCGCTAGCTGGTTTTATACTTTCATTCACCTTAAAACCCAAATAGAGTTACAAGAATCACAACAAATAGATGCATGTGTTAAATGTGATATAAGACTTTGCAGTTAAATCAATTTGCTTGTAATGATACCCATAAATGTAAAGACAAAAAGGAGAGCTTCTTGAGACAACAAAGAACATGATTGGTTCCAAAACATACTGTTAGAAACAACTTAACTACTAACAACCAATTTGCCACCAAACCTGTCAAGTATCGATTTCTGATACAAAACAGTTATGGGATCAGTCTATTCAGGTCAAACCTCCACTTACACGTAGAAGTTCAAGTACTTGAATAATAAGATCTGCACGGCCTTCATGATAAAGAGGGGAAGCCCATGCATAAAATTGAAAGGTATACATTATGACCTATATGATCACAGTAACATCATCACGATCGTGAATTGGTTGGAGGGCGATAGAGGGAGGTCGCACTGAACATATCACTAAATAAGTTGTACATTCTACATAACTTTCCCACCATCACCACCAAATATATCAATTGGATGACCCCTATGACCATATTATTACCATGATCAGGATAAGCATAGGGGAGGCAATGGACCCGGACTCGACCTGGGACCCGATGGGTAGGCCCAGCCGCCCGGATCTGGGTATGGGTTAAAAAATTGGACCTAACGGGTCGCATTTGGGTTCAAAAGAATACTATTCAGGTCAGGGCCCAGGTTTGATCGGGTGGTCCGGGTCCGGGTCCAGTGACTTCGGGGTCTGGTGACGTCGGGTCTAATCAGGTCCGGGTCCCATAATATTCTTTCGGGTCTATGTCCGGGTCCGGTTGGACCCGGACCCAACCCGACCCATTGTCACCCTTATATAAGTGCTCCAAAACACAGCCAAGTCCACCCGGAATCAGTCCCTTGCTGAGCCATCTACTCGGGTAAAGACTTGGGTAGAATGAAGAACTCATAAAAACTCACGAAGAAAAAATATTCTTTTGTAAAATCAATGCATAAATATTTTATATATAATTTTCATGTTTTGATAATGAACTAATGAGATATGCCCTAATTTTATATAATTCATTTTTTTTTATCGTTTTAAAATGTCTCTAGCTATACATCAATTTTTTATGAATCTATCTTTTATATATTTTTTTCCATCTTATTTGGACTTTTAGCATTGCTTACAGTTTCTTTTTTTTCAACTATTTTTTGTTTTTTATAAGTTTTTAGTTTTTAACTTGTAGCCCCAAAAACCTGTATACTACTCTGGCGAATTCACTTGGACTCACATGAGTGACTCCGCTTAGGTAAGGCTAGGGTCCCAACAAGTGAGTAGTTCAACTCGTTACCAGCCGGTTAGATCGGAACCGACCACTGACCGGTTCCGGTTGTGGTCGGTTTGGGTGATAGGGCTGGGTATTTTAACAAAAAATTCAAAACAATATTATATAAAATCCTAAAAACTAAGAGATTTGTTTGTAATGCGTTTCTAAATGTTTTTATTTATCATTTTGATAAAGATTGGAAAATGTTTTGGTCATGAATACTTATTTTTACATTTTCCATCTTTTTTGAAAAGTTTCAAAGATACCTTTGAGCACAAATCGGATCTTTTAAAAATCCATTTTTTCACTAAGTTTCAACTTCTTTGGATGTGCTTTGTTTAATCATGTTTTAAATATATTTTTTAATATTTTTTTAAATTTATTTTATATTTTATATTTTTTTAATACTTTTTTGACCAGCCGGATTATTATTTTAATACTTTTTTGACCAGCCGAGACTTGCCCGGTTAGGCTGGACTAATTGGCCGGTTTACTGGTTACTTGAAACCAGCCCTTGACCGGTTTCCAAGGCTAGTTCGTTTTTTTGAACATCTGTCCCAACTGCAAGCTAAGGTTTCAAACCTTGATTACGATCATAGGATAAGATTTAGGAAAATTGTTTCATGTGGGGCCAGGACCGCATTTCTACAATATGCGGTCTAGAGGTATAAAGCATCCATCTCAAAGATGGATGCGAATAGGTGGTCCATCTAAAGACAATCGTAACTAACGGTCCAAATGTTTTTTTAATATAATTATAATTTATAGTTTTCAATTTTTTTATTTATTTCATATTCATGATCTCCATGTTAAAGATTATATATTCTCTAAAAATTAGGATCAAATTATATTTAAATAATATAGTTACTGCCAAGTCTACATTTCTAGATTATGTGGGCTGGCAGCATAGAAACCAGGTCCTAAGATTAAGCTTAGTCTCTTTCTCTCTCTTTTACATAAAAGCTTATATCACAAGGACACAGTGTGTTTCATAGTAACAAGCTTTCTTATATGGCACCTAAAAAATGCTCCGCCAGCGTGACACCTACACTGTTTACAAAATCGAACTGGAACGGTTAACCGGATATGGGCCGGTATAACCGGTAAATCGGCCGATTTAACTGCTCTAACTGGGAAAGTCTCAGGCGGTCAAACGAGTGATAAAAAAAAGAAAAACTACTAAAATATAAAAAGCATATAAAGAATGATTAAAACAAAACATATGTAAATGAAGTTGAAAATTACTAAAAAAAAATGGATTTTAACCCATTTCATATTTTTCAAGGGCTATTTTTAATTTTTTTTAAAAAGATGGAAAAATATAAAAGTGAGTATTAATGACCAATTTTTATTTCAATCTTTACGATAATGTAAAAAATATTTAAAATTGCGTTACAAATCAAATTCCTTATTTTTTAGAATTTATATATATTTTTTTGAATTTTTTTTAAAAACAATGGAAATCGGATTCGGTCAGTAGCTAGTTCCAATCTAACCGGGCGGCGGTTAGCAGTTAGATCGGGCGATTTTGCTATCAATGCACCTACATAATATGGACCTGTCTATGGATCTACAAGCCTACAACTAGGGCTACCCCAAAACATTTTCACATATAAATATATTCAATGTAATAAAATTCAGATAAGTAAGTCTAAACATTGGATAAACAAAAATTCCAAAATTTTAGGTCTTGGATCTAGAATTTTGGATAGGAAAATTGTTTCATGAGGGCAGGACCGCATTTCTACATATGCGGTCCAGAGAAGTGTAAAGCATCCATGATGGATGCAAGAGTAGGTGTTCCATCTAAAATCAATGAAAACCAACGGTTGAAATGTTTTCTTATTAGAATTATTATTTCTAATTTTTAAAATTTACTTATTTTTTCATATTCATGATCTCCAGATTACATGTCTTTAAAAATTGTCTTAAAATCCATTTCAAAAATAGATTTATTAAGAGACCCGTATTTCTGGCCGCATAGAAATTGGGTCCTTTGGATATGCGCATCAACGGTTGATGTTAAGTGTCCTAGTTCCATGGCGGTGAGTCTACAGTCTGGAACACATGTCGTCCAAGACATATGCCTCGTGTCGTGTGTCAGGTGCGAAAAAGTTCCAAGAGACACTGAGCGACACTTCTCAAGAAGAGCCAAACGGTGTTAGACACGCTTGTCATTGTTACCCATGTAGAAACAAGACCATTATCGAGATGAGAATTGCAATTTGCACCCTAATCTTTGCCAAATTTGGGTGGAATACCTGAATTAGTGAAAGTGTACTGTAATCCGCATGGTTACAAAGGTTATTAGTCATGAGGGTTATCACCGTCCGATCGATCAGAGAGTTGGACGATGATGAAGGCACACTGGGACCCATCCTGGAAGTCACCTCATGGTCTGGCGGATAGGATCGCATCCTCTCTCCATCCATCACCATCCAACCATTAGACAGAACCACTAGAACATGGTGGTCGTGCGGATTACACTGTACTCTCCCATCAATTCATGGCTGAAGGCTCAAATCTCTCCGCCCTGAGAATCACAGTGTACTTTCCCAATTTTCATATCCTTCATTACCTAAGTATCAACTCTCTCTCTCTCTCTCTCTAGAAACAAAAGCAATAGAAATCCAAATAAAAAACACAGATCAAGCAAACTAAAAAGAGAAAATGAGTTCCTTAAACACAAGTTCAGTTTTAGCCCATAAAATATACCTGCAACGAATTGGCCACCATTGCTGAAGCTGAAGCCAAAGCCAGGGAACATAAAAAATGTCCCCAGAGCCACAAAAAAAAACCAAAATCCACGAACCTTCATAACGCAGACCAGAAACGCTTTTTGGGAAAACCCAACCAGAGATTTATCAATATCAGACTGAAATGAGCTTCCTTTTCAAGTGATGGAAGCCATGACAAGTGAAATTAAGAAATGGGTTTTTTTTTTCGTCAGCAAAGGGCTTCAAGTCCCCATGAAAATCCGGGAAAATCTCAAGCCGCCATGAAAAAGCTTCGACAAAAAGATATGGTATGACTAGGGGAAAGAATGGGCGGGCATGAAAATCCAGCAGAGAGAGAAAGTAGGTTGGTGACTTGGTGAGTTTGATTTCTTTATGTTAGAGTGAGAAAATGGCAGCGATGAGAGAGAAAGCATGGGAGAGAGAGAGTTCAATGGGGTATGTAGGTTTTTTGCGTGTGTAGAGAGAGAGAGAGAGAGAGAGAGAGTAGTCATAAATGCAGGGGGTGGTGGAAATCGAGCCATATTGCAGTACGCGGGGAAATGGGCGCGTTGGCACCACAGGTTTTCCCTTCTCACTGTAACAACAGAGCGCTTCAAATATCGGGCTCTCCTTTCACCCTCGAGAATGTTTCCATGTTTCCGCGATCCCACTTGTTAGCCGTTGGATCTGAATCAAACGGCTACGATTGATACCAAAATATCACATCTATTTTTTATTTTTTTCTACAAATTTTTTTTTTTTTGAAACTTTGGGCGACCCATCAGAAAAATAAGACAAAAAAATAAAACAAAAATATTTTATATAAAAATAAATAACCTAAATACTCATGTAATTTTTAGAGGTATTTTGGTGATTTTTCATCATCAAAAATATATTTTTAATATTTTTATCATAAATTTTATTTCAAAATTATTTATAAATAAAATAAAATATTATGAACAGTCTTATCAAGATCTAAAAATTCAATGTTAGGTTGTGACATTGAGATTTCAAGCAAGAATGACTCAAACGAGAGGTCACTTATGTGGGTGGGGTGACAAAGAAAGCCCTCCCACTTGTAGAATGAGTTCGATATTTTGGGCTCACTGTGGTGCACGGTTTGATTCTTTGAAATATGCCATTGCATTGAAATTGACGTCATTTGGATAAAAGTTAAAGATAACATTTTTATTGATTTTCATTTTTTTTATTTTTAATTTTTATAGTTTCAGATTATCTGTTCTTACATTCAGAAAAAGTTTCAGATGATCTGTTCTTATTTATTATTTAATTGAAGCAAAGGCCTTAAATGCGTATGGCAGGTAATGAATGAGCCAACATGCTCCTCTTGTCTTGCTATTACCAACCATGGATGTCACCACAATCCAACAACCGAGAGAGAGAATTAAAATTTCCAAAATTAAGAGAGAAAAGGAAATTTCAGGATAAATAAGAATGAGACCGTTGAAATTTACGATATAAGGGACCGAGATTATTCTTCGCGGATAATCCCTTTATGCCTTTTTTTTTATTTTATAGAAAGTTAAAATTTTGCATTTACCAAAATGGAAATTTTGGGCTTGTTTTTAAAAAGACAAGAGTGAGAATAATTGTAACCTCAATGTGTAAAAGATAAAGGGTTATATCACGATGTTTACACTTACCATTTTATATTTGTACTTAACAAATTTTAGATATTTATATACTTTTGTTTTGTGATACAATAGACCATTATTAATCTTTGGGTTATGTTAGGGTGCTCATGCTATATAGAGTGTTTTATAATTGTACTTAATAAATTTTAAATATTTATATATCTTTGTTTTGTAATACAATATTGACACTATATACTACTACTTTAGTTAGTTTACTAATTAACTTAATTTATTAATTAAGTAAAGTTAATTTAAAAATTTAAAAATTAAA